GGTTGTTCTGTTCTCTGGTTGGGGGGTTGTTCTGTTCTTTGCTGCTCTGCTGTTTCTGACTTTCTTCTGGTCTCTGTTTTGCTCCCTCAGACTTCAGTAGAGTTGTGTTCCTTCCTGGTACGTTGTCACATGTTGGGGTTTGTAGTCCATGTTCATCTATGTATTATGGGGTTTTGTATGAATGGTGTGAAGCGGGGGCAGGTCTTAGAGGCAGTAGATATTCCAGCCATGTTCTTGAAGTGTGAGGACAGACATGACATCATCTTCATCCTGCTTCTCATCCTGCCTTAGGTATCGCAGCTTTGTGAGACCGAGATACAAAGTGGCCTACAAGAGCGTGTCAGACATGGAGTGGAAGTGCTGCCAGGGATATTCCGGGGATGACTGCATGGAAGGACCCGCAGGAGGTCTTCAGATCCCCACCGTCAGACCTCGCCCCAGACCCGTAAGACCCAATATTTCCGGATCCAGTGGGGGGAATCATCTGAGTGGATCTGGAGGGGAGGGTAAGTTCCATCATTGAATCTTTTATTGCCCGGTCCTTGTGTGATATCATCTTATGGCAGACAAGTCCGTACATTGCTCCGGCATACAAATCGATGTGAAGACCCGGAGAGGGAATTCTGGCTGACCCCCAATATCCAGGACCCCCAATATCCAGGACCCCCAATATCCAGGACATGACATCATCTGAGATTCCGGGGAACTCCGAGGATTATTTCTTATCTGGAAATATGAAATGTGTTGGTTTTGCCCGGAGAGTCTCGGAAACGTATGATGTCATAGCTGCTGAGCCGCAGATCATGGGAACAATCTGAGGGCTGATAAGAGGTGACATTGTTCTATGTTTTCTCCCGATGACCTCATATGTGAGACTCCCCAGATGTTGATGATTAACCCATCAGGAGCGGTGGACATTCTCACTTCACAGACCTCAATCACCCATCCGGGATGATTTCACAAATTCCCTCCTGACCCCCCCACCCAAGCCAGTCAAATCACAATAGACCCAACTCCTTGTGAAGCCTGCTTCTACCTTGGATAGAATCAGGTAAATTTGTATTGCTGTCCATGCGCCCATTGGGGAGATTTCTTTGACTTCCTGTCCCTCTGACAACCTGTGATAGCAGGATAAAAAAAGAGGAAAGTGTTTGTCACCGGGACAGGAAGTCACAGACAGTGATAATACCTGCATGGAGGTTCTAGCCCTTCCCATATTTTATTGTCTTCTATCACTTCCTGTACTGACCTTAGACTATTATAACTTTGGATTCCGCTGCCTGGAAGATAGATGCCCATTGTTCACACTAAGTGTTGTCCACTCCAGCTTGGACAAAAAAGAAGAAAATGTTATTCCCAGATCAATTGTCTGGCTCAGTCCTCCAGCTGCCATACTTACCTTTGTCTGGTTGTGTTCATCACAGACTTATCCACTCACCTTTTTGACCACCCAGTGTCATCCAACAGCCTCCTTATAGTCCAACACAAGGGGCGGCCCTCTGACCTCTGTGAGTCACACCCCCTTGTAGTCCAACACTAGGGGTGGCCCTCTGACCTCTATGAGTAACACCCCCTTGTAGTCCAACACTAGGGGCAGCCCTCTGACCTCTATGAGTCACACCCCCTTATACTGGGGGGGATCCTCACCTTGGTCCTGTATACTCTCAGATTGAAGATTGGTTGGGGGGGGATCCTCACCTTGGTCCTGTATACTCTCAGATTGAAGATTGGTTGGGGGGGTCCTCACCTTGGTCTTGCTTACTCTCATACTGAAGCTTCTCCTCTGCTCTGTATTTCTGTTTTCTAGTTTTCTGTACCAATTACTGTCTATTTCTTTCTCACCATTTGCAGCCTCTCTCTGGGCCTCTCTTCTCCTCTTCTGGGTCTCCGAACCTTCTCTCAGGTATTGCAGAGGTCTTGTAGTATTGGACATTGTTTATATTGTAAGCAATTTGACAAATATTGCTCATTATGCTTCTAACGTGATTTTTATGTGGCTTCTTTCAGGCCAAGTGGAGTCAGAGAAGGTGAAGCAGTTAGAGGACAAGGTGCAGCACCTGACCAAAGAGCTCCAGACGCTGCAGTCTACCCTGCAAGGCATGAATGAGAAATTCCAGTCAGAAATTCGTCTGACCGTTGAGAACGTGTTAAATGGCAAGCAGCCTGCAGATTCAGCGCCAGGCCAATCGGACATGTCCGAGAAACTTAACGACATTCAAACGCTTCTAACAAACCTGGACAAAAAGGTCAAAGACCATGACCAAGAGTTGGGCAACCTTAACAATGCAAATGACAAGCACCATGGAGGTCAGGAAATTGTAGTTGGCCAGAAACTGACAGACCTGAAGGGAGACATCTTACAGGAAGTAGAGAAAAGGATGCAGCAATCGTGCTCAGCTTGTCTCGCAGGAGTGGACGGGTTCAGAAACCAGCAGAATGAGGACAGAGATCGCATTCAAGGATTAGAGAAACTCATGAATTCTATGGACCAGCGTAACAGGGACATTGTACAGAACATCCAAACAAGCGTGGTGGAACTCACTGCCCGTGTGCCTAAAGATTGCTGCTCAGAAGTAGCAGACCTGCGCAAAAAAGTGACCGAGGCCGAGAGGAGAGCAGACACACTATCCGGCTCCGTAGTTGCTCTGACGGTGCGTCTGGACCGAGAATTAGGTGACAACGGCAACCAAGTGGACCATACCTTGAACAACCGTCTGTCAGACATTGAAGGCAGAATGAATACTACAAAACACACTCTGGAGGAACATTACTACCATTATCGTGACGAGATGCAGAACTTCTTCCAGGACGAGATCAAGAAACTGAGAGATGAACTGAAAAATCGCATCCATGGCAACGACTTCAAAATCACCCTTCTCCTGACTGAGCTCGGGAACAGCTCCGGATTCCGAGACCTGATGGACCAACGGATAACAGGCCTATCTGATGACTATTACTCTCTCAGAGATCAGGTGGAAAAGAACGAAGACCAACTTAATAAAGTCACTGAAGATTTGGATGGTCTGAGGAACCAGGTGACGGACACCACGCAAGGCTGTACCAATCAATGCAACAGTCACAGTTCCGAGATGACCAAATTATATGAAGAGCTAGACAAGAGGATGAAAGATAGCGAAGATCATATCCACAATGTTCGCTCTGATGTCACCAACCTCAGACTATCTGGAAACTCCATGCAGGATACACTGATGGACCTGGACGGCGAGATGACACATGTGAAAACGATGGTGGACTCCAATGGAGAGACTTTTGGCAAGTTGGTGTCCGATATAAAAGATGAAAAAGACCGATTCACAGCCACTATCTTCTCTGACCTGGGCAGGATTCATCTGAACATCGCTCAGTACCACAATGGCACCAATGGAAAGATATTGGATATGGAAAATCATGTGAAATCTTTGAGGAAGATGATTGAGTTTGATTACAAGAGCTGTGGCCAGGTGTGCTCTAACCTGCAGGAGGAGGTGGGCAAATTAAAGGAGCAGGTCGGGGAGTGCACAGACACATGCCAGTTCTTGAAGAGCAAACCCGAGGAGGACGACAAAGATAACACCGGCGGCTCCAACAAACAGCTCGATGGCTTCCCTGTCTTCCGAGGGAGTCACGGTGGAGAGCTGAAGCATTTACAAGGAGAGTTGTCCAACATCATTGTGACCTTCAGTTCCCTGAATGACAGTGTGAAAGATCTCCAGGAGAGCGTCGGGCGCCAGCAGACTGACATCCAAGATCTCTCGACCATCAAACACAAGCTGATATCTGAGATCAATAAATGTCAGGAGGAGCTGACGGAACACATCAAGGACAATGCAGAAAAGTTTGATGTGTTCCAAAAAGAAATCCACAGATATGGAAGTACGGTGATAGAGGAGACGCAGGAGTGCAGGAGGTCTTCCGGTGGCTTGGAGGAAAGAGTTTCCAAGCTGGAGAACATCTGCGTGAAGCTGGATTCCGTCTCTGGAAGTCTACACAAGATCAAGGAGAGTCTGAACGTCCACGTGTCAGGGCTGTGGAACTGCGTGCATGAGGTGAACAGCACCCTGCGCACGCACACCGCCTGGTTCCAGAAACTCCACAACAGCCAACTGAATGGAATCCACCGTAAAATCAACAGCCTGAACTCCTCCGTGATTCTTCTGTCGTCTGAGTGGCAGAACTTCACTCTCCAGGACTTCATAGGTGAGCCCGGGACTTCCATTACTGCAGCATTGCAGGTCACTTGTTCCTAGCTTGTCCCGGTGCCTTGATCCCTACTGAAGATGCAGCCGAGACACAGGTTGCGGTAACATATGTAATGAAGTATTTACCACATTAAAGGAGAAGTACGAGGGGGGGGGAGGGGCTTGTCACTCACCTCATAGGTCGGGGCGACGTGTGACAATGAGGTGTGACAATGAGGTGTGACAATGAGGTGTGACAATGAGACTGTCACAGGTCGGCTCAGTAGATCGGGAGGTGAGGGAACACATACCGGCGCTCGCTCACCTCTCGATCTATCCCTAAAGAGAGTTGTGACTGTCACTCACGGCTTCCTGTAGGGATTCCCCGCTCCGATCCTCCAGCGCTGACTGGCAGGACGGACGGGGAGGGGGCGGGTACAGCCTCTAGATAGGCGGAGCCAGCTGTCAATCACGCAGCTGGGCGGATCCAGACAGTAATGTCCCGGCTGCGGCATCTCAGTATACCGCGAGCTGCAGCTCCCTATATACTGAGCCTCGGGTGACGGGAGGACGCTAGTTTGTGTGACCCCCCCCCCTGACCCTGAGGAGAACTATGGGGGGGGGGGGACTCCC